CCGTTTTTATTGACCGATCGCAGCCAAGGAAGATTGATCGAGCTGGAATGCTAAGGGACTTCTTCCTTAGCTCTGCTCGCTAGGGCCCCGGGTCGTGTTCCAGTTCGGTGCAGCTCTGCGCCTTCCCCGCCCCCAAGCCCCGCAGGTTCCAGGCTTCATTTCAGTCCTTTAACGTGCGGCTGGGTCCGCCCAAGCCGGCGCCGCTGCTCCGGGGGGAGGGACACGGCGGCGCGGCCCGGCTCCGCTTCTTTCTCCAGCCTGCAAATATTTGCTGCCTAGCTGGAAATCCGACTATTTCGCGCGCGCTCAGCTTGCAAAGTCCTTAAGTAAACACGCTCAAATGACCGCCCCGGGCGGTCTGAGGCACGCTCACCACCCCAGCGCGGGATTAGTAACTTTAGGACTTCGACCCTGAGGCTCGGCTTTGCTGAGCATCCGCGAGCAGCGAGCGCTCAAGCCCCGGGGCTGCTGCTTCCCGCATCTCGGCCCCGCGGAGCTCGCCTGGACGCGCCTGGCGCCAGGCTCGGGTGGGTGACGCTGGCTGCGTGGATTTCCGCCTTCTAGGTCCGTGCCTCCAGGGCTGAGGCCGTCAAACCTCCTCCACCTCCTTGCTCCAGGGCCTCCACTTTCTGAGGGAGACTGGGGTTCCCCGTTTCCACCGGGGTAGGGTCTCTATGCTCCTGGGAGGGCGTGTGGGAGGGACCTGAACTTGTGTGTGTGTGTGTGTGTGTGTGTGTGTGTGTAGAGGGGTCCCCAGTTTATCCCAACCGAGGGAGAGACTCCATTTCTTACCCTTTCCCCAAGAGGGCACACATACCCAGCTCAACTTGACGCCTACAGCAGCAGCCCTGAGGCCTGCGCTTTCAAATAGGCCAAGTTAGCTCCCGCCGCCCCACCACTTGCACCAGGACCCGGCTCCTCCGAGGGCGGTGGCTGTGCCCTCCTGCTCTGCTTCAGGATGCTAGGTCTCTGGAGTCCAGGTCCTTCTCCAGCCCCTTACCCTAAAGAGAGAGACAGGCCTCGTGCTCTACAGGAACCGGGCACCCTAAAACAGCGGCGGCGGCAGCATCTTCGTCTTTCCTCCCCTGGAGCTCCGCCGGCTGCTCCCAGAAGAAGGGGGGACCCGCTACCCCAGGCCGGGGCCGGGTGCTTGGGGAGGGGGGCGCGTCAGGTCTGCAGGAGGGCGTAGAGGCGTCTCCGCAGGAGGCCGGGATCAGCTTTGTGAGCCACGGCAACCGGAGAATCAGGACCACCTTTTCTCCTTCCACCCCCAGTCTCGAGCCCCCTCTCCTCCCCCGCCCTCCCGGGGAGGAGGAAGCCCGGCCTGCATTTGCCGGCGAGGCGGGTCAGGCCGGCGCCTGGCCTGGCCCAGACCCCCGCAGTCCAGGTCTCCGCCTCAGGCCACGCGCCGCAGCTTCTCTGGCCTCGCTCCCCTTCCCCCTTCTTTCCCCGTGGGTCCCGGAGCCGACCTCGGCCCTCCTTCCCCGGTAGCCCCCTCCCCTCGTTTTCCCTCCCCCCTGCTCTGTGCTTCTGACTCTGGGGCTGGGCCCGTGACGTCAAACCCAGTGTGGCGTCGGCGAGACTGGCCGGCGCGGGCCATCAAAAGAGCAACGTCCTCTTTCCCAATTACCCACTGTCAGTCCGGGAACCGGGGCGGACCGGCTGGGAATTACATGTTAAATACCCCCTACAGGCTGGCTCCATTACCCCGTTTATCCAGTCCCAGGGTCCCCCACTCCTCTCTGCCAGCCTCAAACCACCCAGACCCAGAGGGGCCTTCTAGATCTTTTATTTTTCCTAGGGTGGGGGTTGCCCTTCTGCATCCCAGTGCAGCCCGACTCTGTGCTGGTAATTGAATTAAAACGAATAATGCCTTTCTCTCCCATTACCAAAGTGATCAGCGAGGCGCCTCTACACCGGAAGGCCTCTTTGCACAAACATTTTCTTTTTGTCTTTTAACATCATTCTTAGCCTCAGAAGTTAACGTTTTCAAATCCTGGTGACAGCTGATTTTTCCGTCTCGAGGATGGTTTCCTTTTGCCCTTACTTGAGTTTCTAGATCTCGGTACTTAGGACCAAAGAGGTAGGCTTGGGCGTTTTCCTGGAAGCTGTGAACTTGGGTCAGGCAGGGTGTATCCAAGTCTTCTTGACTAACGCGCTAAGAACCACTTTTCATTTTTTCTTTAAACTTCCATTCTTAATCTTAATCCCCGGCCTCTTAGCAAAACTGTGTGCGCGCTCATCTCTCCTTGTTTATGGAGTGGTTTCCGGTGAATGTTAGACAGTAACTAAATAATTAAAAGGTTTTGAGAGAGCCGTGAGCTGGAGGAGATGCTGGCAGCCTGACTGGCCCAGGAGAGATGAGTGGTCTAAGAAAAATCGATGCTTCTTTACTGGGCCACCCTAATAAATGAGGACCAAGTGGGAGCAGGAGAAATGCAGGAGGGAGAATTTAAAAAAATATTAAGGTATTTCTTCTTGTTCTATATCTAGAAATTCAACCCGACTTCAAACAAACATCAGATTTAAGAAGGTGAGGACTCAAGATAAAGTCCAAAGCCAAGACCTGGAAGACCCACTCGTCCAAATAAATTTTACTGATTTTTCTTCAAGAATTGTTCTAAAACAACGCATTCCCTCCCCATACACCAAGTGGAAGGTGAACATTGATGTTTTTCCTTCAGCGCAGGAAAGGAATTCTTCAGAACTTAATTTTAGGGATGGCTTCTAGTATATTGACATTTGAATTGAGGGATTTTGGGGGTAGAGGAGCGAAGAGGGACTAATGCCTTGAATTCAAATTACCATTACCCCACCCTTCCCATCAGCCCAGTCGGTGCGAATGCCTGCGGGAGAATCCACACTCTCTCCTCGTACACATTGCCCTGGGGTGGACCTGGAATCTTCTTTCCCCGCCAGACCCTGGCCTTTCCAGCCTTGCTTCTGCGAGTGCGGTTGCAGAAATCTCAGCGCCGCTAGGGGATGCAGTGGCTCAAAGGACCGAGCCGGGCCTCAAAGGTTGGAGCCCGCGGGGCGGGCCAATTGTGGCCCGGCCATACTCGCGCCCGAGGATTGGCTCGTCCTCTGGCCCCGCCCCCTCTGGCCCCGCCCCCTCAGCAGGGAGTCTCAGAGCTTCGCTCCCTCCGCGCAGGAGTGCCCGCTGGGCAGACGGTGGCCCAGAGGCTCGCGGAGCCCCCGGAGGTCGCCTCTGAGTCCCATCCCGGAGGCTGGGGGTTAGGGTCGGCGGCGAGGGCTGGCCTCTCGGCCTGGGGGAGAGACGCCAGAGTAAGTAGGGCTCCGGGCGGGGCGAAGGGAAAAGTTGTCCAACTGGAGCGGAGACTGAGTTAGTTCTACTCTGACTGTACGTAGGGGACGCATGAGTCTCAGCTCCCCGCCTCATCCAAAAGCACACATCGATTACGAATGTTATTAGGTCTGGGAAGGACAGCTGCAACAGCTGAAGCACTTTCAATGGAGAGGCTTGTTGAAAGCAAAAGGCCGGGGGAAACGGCGACATCAAAAGTAACCCGGTGTTCCAATCAAAGCCATATCCCCTTTGCCCGATCGCTCAGCCTCTTAGGAAATTGGCCCAAGAGGCAAATCTTAAAGTACCTTAACAGCAAACTTGTTTTTTCTGATCAGTTTTACGTGCACATAGCCTCCAAATTCATAAGCTCTCCAAAGTACCCTGGATATAATAATAATAAAATAATACAAGTCAGTTTAAAAAGTCTGCTTGTTGAAATTAACTTTATGAATGGGGCAGGCTGGTTTCACCAGGACGGAATAATCTACTGAGCCCGAATGAATCGGTTCTGCAGAGACTACATTTAAAGGGCCAGAGCGCGAATTCCCTCCTGCCCGCCCCCTCCGCCCCAAACCCTGGTCGGCCTCGCCCACCCTGCCCGCGGCTCCTCCGCCCGCGGCCGCCCTCCCCGGCGCCCCTTTCCGGTCAGTGGAGGGGCGGGAGGAGGGGCGGCTGTGTGCGGGGGGGGTGGGGGTGAAGTCCTGGAAAGGGTTTGGGTTGCAGTTTCCTTGTGCTAGGGATTCTGTCCCCTCCTGCCAGCGCCAGGCTCCTCCCCCTCGGCGCGGATGACACTAGAACCTCCTTAAGTTGCGTCGCGCCACAGCTGTCTGCGAACACTGAGCTGCCTGGCGCCGTCTTGATACTTTCAGAAAGAATGCATTCCCTGTAAAAAAAAAAAATACTGAGAAAGGGGGAGAGAGAGAGAGAGAGAGAGAGAGAGAGAGAGAGAGAGAGAGAGAGACAGAGAGAGACAGAGAGAGAGAGAGAGCGAGACAGAGCGAGCTACGCAATCTGACCGAGCAGGTCACACACCTCCTCCTCCTCTCTGCTCCTCGTTACCCAGGTTGGTACTATGACTTTTTTTTTTTTTTAAGTTTGATTTCTGTCCCTCCACTTGGGAGGACTTTAAAAATTAAAACTCAGCTCTTCCCTTTTGGAGGGTTTCTAGTGGCTGGAAGGAAGGTCCCGGGACCTGTGTCCCCAAGGAAGGGACTTGTCCTCCAAGTTGTAACCGCTCATTCAGTCCGCGGCTCCCGCGAACCTGGCTGCAGAGATGTTCTTGGGAGGCTCGCTGTCTCTTCCAGCCGGGTCCCTGAGCGCTTGTGCGTGTCCCGGGTGCGCCCACCGGCTGGGCGACTCGAGGGGAGGTGGTGCCCTCCTGAAACTCAGGTGCTACGTACTTGCAGGCTCACCCAGGTCTCCCTTCTCTTCCTTGCAGGTGACCCGAGGAGAAACAGTCTCTGAGCGCTGAAGAGCCCCGGTGCCAAGGAACCTCACCTGCAGAATTCCAACGTCCTCATCTCTCCTCCCCCTCCCCCCTTTACAATTTGGTCCCCTTTTATTCTGCTGTACCTAGTTTTGGGATTTTTTTTTTTTTTGCCAAGCCATCCCTCAACGGTTCCCCCCCACCCAAAAAAAAAAAAACCCTCTTATTTGCTCACCTTTCCTTCCCAGCCTTCTCATACCCCCACTGAAAACAAACCATTAACCGACCTCCCCGGCCCTCCGACGGCAGGAGTCCGCGGACCTCCCAGGCCGATCGCCCTCCCTCTCCGTGAGCGGGTTCCGGGCCGGGCGAGAGGTCGCGAGCGCAGCCGAGGACATGGAGGTGACGGCGGACCAGCCGCGCTGGGTGAGCCACCATCACCCCGCGGTCCTCAACGGGCAGCACCCGGACACGCACCACCCCGGCCTCGGCCACTCCTACATGGACCCCGCGCAATACCCCCTGCCCGAGGAAGTGGATGTACTTTTTAACATCGATGGCCAAGGCAACCACGTCCCATCCTACTACGGAAACTCGGTCAGGGCCACGGTACAGAGGTACCCTCCGACCCACCACGGTGAGTCCATCCTGGGAGCTGGGACCCTAGCCAGCAGCGCCCGCTCTGCTGGGTCAGGGAGGCCGGGAGGGACTCGAAAGCCCCTTATGTGCAGTTACCGGTTTATTTAAAAAAAAAAAAATTGGGGCCCGGAAATGGGCGAAGAAGGTGTCTCTCTGTTTGTGAGAGTGTGTTTTTAAAAAGAGTCGTAGCAGGCGTCTCTCCTGGCTGGTGATCCTAGGGCCTGGCGGTCACCTGGAGGGCGCCGAGATGCAGCCCACGGTCCCCGTGTAGCCGCAGGTTATGGGGCCCAGGAGGTCCCAGGCACCGGGCGCCAAGGCTGTGCTTTCCCGGGCGGAGGCTCCCGGGCCCGGCAGCCGGCGCCGGCGAGGCCGGCCTGAAATTGGCTCCTCCATGGGGCTTCGCGCTCCCTGTTACCTCCTAATTGTCTAGGGGAGGGCGTCTGCCAGCGACCTTCAATTTGTTTGCCCCGGTACTTTTTCAGCAAGGCCCCAAAGACATCTATTCCTACCTTCTCCTTTGACCTTTTTCCAAAGCGGGTGCATGTGGATTTTAGGCAGGTCTCCCACCCACTCAGGGCTTCGGGAGGGAATTCTGGTCTGATGGGGGTCTAGGGGTAAAGACTACTGTCTTTAAGCTGGGGAGATGTTAGGGTCCCTAGATTCCCGGCTGCCCAGAATTTTCCTGCTTGTAGGTTGCCTCGTTGCCTGCAGCTCTGGCCTTCTCTCTTCCGGCCTACAGCAGCCCTCCCAGCTCTCCATAAGATTTAGGATACATCTGCCTTTCTTTTTAAGTAGGAGCGATTCCAATTGCCTCCCACCCACCCCTTTTCACCTTGAGAAGTTTAGGAGAGTTCTGAAATGTTGAAAAAGAAACCTAATCCTGTATAGTAAGGGGGGGAAAACTCGAACCCTTGCCAGCTGTAAATTTGTTCCTAAAGAAGAAATAGTTGCAAAACTTCAAGGGGAGAAGATGTGAGACTTTCTCACTCCACCCAGACGGAGGTCTGCCCTGGTCCCCCTACTCAGAGTTGGCTTTGGAGCTGATGACATAACCCCTCCGGCAGCGGTTGTCCTCTGCCCTGCTCTCCTCAGGTTTTAGACAATCATTTCTGCTGCTGGGGCGCTCTTTGCCCATGCGCTGTGCAGATTAGCAGTAGCAGTTAAGTGGGAATGCAGACTTAATATTATTTACTATGCTACTTCCTGCATAATATGAATCTTAACCCTTGCTGTTCGGAGAACTCCTCTCTCCTCCCCTTCCTCTCGCTTAAGATTTTAGTTTCAGTATTGTTCTTAAAGGTTGAACAGAATGTCGAATGGTGAGGCAGGTACTGGATTAAAGATCAATACGTGTGGATTTGCATTGCAGTTTAAAAGTTCTCCTCTCAGAGAGTGTGTGGACTTGTGTAAGTTACGGTTACCTTAAAACTGTGTATTCTAAATGAAAGCTAAACATACTCTGTGCATGAGTCACCCTTGCTGAAAACATACACATAAACTAGAATTTAGTGTCTTAGGTGAAAATTCACATATTGCCTAGGAATTGCAGCTTTGAAGGCATATGGGGCTTGCTTTATTCACCGCCCCCCCTCCCCCATAAATTTTGGGAAAGTGAGAAAAGCAGGAAAAACAAAAACCCAAAAACTACCATCCCAAGATCCAGCCTTGGAAACTTTCAACAGTTTAGGTAATGCAATTACCCTTGCAAATATCACTTCAGGCCTTTTGGAAGCAGCCTTGCCAATTCTGAGCAAGCCTTGCATTGGGTTTCCTAGAACTAACCCTAAAATGTGCCTTGTGTCCTTTCCGCTTGGATTCCGCCTTGGGAGCAGGGCCTCTGGGCCTCTCTCTAGGGTGGAGGTTCTCTCCTGGTGTGCAGTGGTGGTGTGGCCGGCTCCATCCTTCAAGCCTCATCATTCACAGCTGACTCTCTTATCAGGCTGGCTAGGATTAAGTCTGGGATGGGGGCTCCCGCCATTGAAAGAAACCAATAAATCAAGTCAGGTAGAGAGGGCCCTAGGGAATGTGATTTAGACTGTGTGTCTGGAGAGGTCACATAAGCCAAGGGACCTTTCTCACTCCTTCTTTGCACCTCTCCAATCTCAGGCCTGTAGTTCTGCAGGATTTGATGAGACATGGGTGTGGGAGAGATGGTGGATAGAGTCCGCTCCCACGCTAAGGTGTGCTGGCCAGGTTCTCATGGGACCACGGGGATTAGGGAGTAGGGCTAAACCCAAGTTTTGGTGGCAGGGAGGCTTGGGACGTCCAGGGGAGAGTCCCCTGGTGCATCTGAGCGCTGCTCTCATCGCATTTCTTTCTCCTGTCCCCCGCCGCCTTCCCCGCCTGGCTGTCGCCGCAGGGAGCCAGGTGTGCCGCCCGCCTCTGCTGCACGGATCCCTGCCCTGGCTGGATGGCGGCAAAGCCCTGGGCAGCCACCACACCGCCTCGCCCTGGAATCTCAGCCCCTTCTCCAAGACGTCCATCCACCACGGCTCCCCCGGGCCACTGTCCGTCTATCCCCCGGCCTCATCCTCTTCGCTGGCAGCGGGTCACTCCAGCCCGCACCTCTTCACCTTCCCGCCCACCCCGCCAAAGGATGTCTCCCCGGACCCGTCGCTGTCCACCCCGGGCTCGGCCGGTTCGGCCCGGCAGGATGAGAAAGAGTGCCTCAAGTACCAGGTGCCGCTGCCCGACAGCATGAAGCTGGAGGCGACACACTCCCGCGGCAGCATGACCACCCTGGGAGGGGCGTCGTCGTCTGCCCACCACCCGATCACCACCTACCCGCCCTATGTGCCCGAGTACAGCTCCGGACTCTTCCCCCCCAGTAGCCTGCTGGGGGGCTCACCCACCGGGTTCGGATGTAAGTCCAGGCCCAAGGCACGATCCAGCACAGGTAGGAGCCTCCTCCGCCTTGGGATTCCTATCTTTTGCTCTTGGCCTCCTTCTCTTTCTCCTAAAGCCAGGGCAGGGCCGGAGACCACCAAAGGGGCCCCTGGGGTGGAGTGGGGGTGGGGGGCTGGGGCTGGCCAAGCCCTTCTGAGACCACCTTCCATTCCATTCTTCCAGTCTGGAAAGAATGAGGGCTGTCGTCCTACCTTTCTCCTGGCTTGGGACACAGAGGGGAAGTGGGATCTGATTTAAAACCCCCCAGCGAGCTGGGAAAGGAAAAAGACAAACAAAAACAAAGCAATGCCCTCTCCTGTGGGGCCAGGACTCCTGGATGCTGTGGTAACCTTTAGTCAGTTTCCAAGACCAAATGGAAGGGCCAGGAATAAATCTGTAGTGTTTAAGGCTAAAACGAAACCTCCTCAAATCTAAACAAACACAGGTTCCTCCTGTGACCCCTTTGGCCTCTGTCAGTCTGACTGTTCCTCTCACTCAGCTCAAAGAAGGGTATTCCTCTATAGCAGAGGATAGTCCTTTATCCAGATGTGTATAAATGTGGTGTGTGTGTGTGTGTGTGTGTGTGTGTGTGTGTGTGTGTCTTGGGAGGAGGCAGGAACCTGGCAAAACCAGCACCATTTTCTTTGAGTGAAAAAGGGACTCTTAGCTGAACTTGTGGGAGCAGGAGGTGGCTCCAGAATGGGGAAGCAGAGTTGAATGAAAATCAAATGTGGCACACGGCCCAGTTAGTTACCTGCAGTGTCTTTCAGAGCCCTCAGTGCGGGCTGGAGCAGGAAGCCGCTTTAGGACGCATTCATTCCCCACTGATCAGAAGCCAGAGGAGGTAGAAAAGGTGAAAAAGAGTCTTCAGGTGGGCGGTGCTGCTACTGCACTCACTCTCTTTCCCCAGGCAGACCCCGTGTAGAAAACACATCAGATTTGTTCTGTTCTATGCATTAGAACACCCATACTTCTTCTTCTTTTTTTTTTTTTGCTTTTAATATGAGATAACCCATCATCAATTTTGTTTCTAACTGAAGCATTTGAGTCAAAGAGAGACAGGGATTCTCGGAGATACGAGTGAAGTGTAATTTTAGGTATGATTTTGTGAAGATTGCTATGTCACTAAGGTGTTCATTTCAGAGTGGACATCTGTGCTCTGGTCCACTCCAACGGCCATGTCTCTGCACCCTGTCTGTAGAGATCCTGTAAGGAGGCAATGGTGACAAAAATCACTTGTCTTCTGAGAGCAAGAGGAGCCAGTCATGAAACTGTGCTGGCTCCCAGAGCCCTGGTTTGGAAAACTTAAAGAGGGAGGGCTGTAGGGAGCCCAGTGACCATGAGATCAGTTTTCAGGTTTTTTTTTTTTTTTTCCAGGGTGACATTCACTTCGACTGCCTAAGCAGGACTGTCTCTATTTAGTTGATATGTTTTAGCTAATCCAATTATTTTCAGACTGCTGCACGCGACAGTTGCATTGTTTATCCTGAGTCAGGAACTTCAATAGAGTCCGGATGCGGTTAGGCTGACAGAAAGACTCAGACCCGCATGTTCAGTACATGAAAGTAGGCAGAAGGGAGAGGGAGGTAGGCTAGCTGGTGGAGTCAAAAAGAAAGCGAGAGCTAGGGAGAGCTGCAGCGGGAACAAAGTGGCCCACCCGGTCTTCGCAACGACTGGGCTTGGGGGTGGAGGGCTGGAGAGAAGTGAGGCTCCGTGGGCTCCGCACAACTGCACAAGCGATTGCGGGACTGAAATCGCAGAGCGAGCGTTTGCATTTTGAGGTTGCAATAGGATTTAAAAAAAACAAATTCTCTTTACTGGTAGTGCTGCGAGGTTGGGGGAAGACCGTGGTCTCTGAGGCCGGTGCAGTGGTTGTGGGAGGAGGAGGGACTGAGTGACTTTTCCAAAAGACTCTGGTTTCTTTGCCCTCATTTCTGCATTTGATTTCCACCCCCTCATTTGCGCACACTTTGTGGCTTCAGTTGGATCTGTTCCTTTCTCTCAGTTTTTTTTTCCCCTTATGATTGTTAATATGGACGGATATGTGTGTGGATTTAGAACTGGAGCTTCCCTAAAGCAGAGCTAGGAATACCTGTATTTGTACTTTAGGTTTTTGGCCAAGAGGAGAGGAAGCCATTGAACTTTGGGTCTTTACTTCCTCCTTCTTATTCCTTTCTCACAGTCTCAAAAACCAAGAGTGGCACACCTGGCCAGTGAGGGAGCTGGGACTTTTGGAGTGTGGAGGGGAAGTTTCAAGAGACTATCAGTGTGCAGAGGGTGGACTGGTGGGAATTCTGATAGAGGGGATTCTCTTGGTGGTAGCTTGCTTTTCTTTCTTTCTTTCTTTTTCTTTCTTTCCTTCCTTCCTTCCTCCCATCCCTTTTCTTTCCTTCTTCTTCTTTGCAAATATCTTTAACTGACAGAAAAGAGAGGGTTGTGAGCATTTTCTCTGCGTTTTGAAGAAACGGTTGAAGCTGTGGTTAGGGCACCTATTGCTTTTTTTGATGCCTGGGTTTTCAATCCTGGGATCTGTCTTTGCATACAAAAGACAACGCCTTTTTGCACAGGGCCATTTCTCAGCTTTCCTGACCATTGTGGCACCTTCCTCCACCTTCCTCTGAAAAATTTCCTGCCCTCCTCTTACCCCTTCACAGCCTGGTTTCAGGGTTTCAATCCAGAGCCCAAGGGGCTTTGAAAATGGCTGTTGAATGTCAAGAGGCCTCACAGCTCTGTGGTTCTTGTCACCTAAGAGAGAGGTGTCTGCCTGAGCAGGTCACAGCAGGCAGGGGCCGAGGAGAGGGGAAGACAGAAAGCAGGAGAGTCAGGGCCTCCATTAGGAAAATTGGCTGTGTGCTGAAGTCACAGACTAGAGGCACCAAGGAAAAAAGAAAAAGAAAAGCCCACAGAAGGCAATCACTAACTTGTGGAGTGAATCAAGACAGAAAATAGCTCTAGTGTGTAGAGCTCTGCCAAGGAGCAACCGTTGCTCGCTTTCAAGGGCCCTCTGAAAAGGAAGCTGTCATCCTCCCTCCCACCTGACAAAGGAAAAGAAATCAGCCTGGTCACGTCAGGCTGGGAGATCCCCCAGTGCCAGGGTGCCTAGGAGCAGGGCAGCCATCCACGCTGCTCACTGCAGTGTCACGCCATCCTGAGATCTACTGCTGCCATGTGGAAGCATGGAGCCAGCAGGCCTGGCTCTGCCATTTGACCAGTGTTCATGCAGGGAAAGGACCTCCCACGGCTCTGTCTAGGCAGGATGAAGAGTGGGCCTAGCAACTCCAACTAGGCCAGGCCTGGGGTCCTGTACCCATCAATGGGACAGTGGACCTAGTATCCATTTGGGACACAGAAACGCAGGGCCTGCAGCCTCCTGGCTCCCGGCTGTAGCTGGTGTGTCCTCTCTCACTCAGCCTTTCTTTTTCTTTTCACACCCCCCATATTCAGTCTGCCACTCCTGACTTTTGACACCCCCCCAAGTGAAAGGCATCTGTGTGTATTACACTCCCACAGCCTTTTTAGAGAATCAAGAAAAACTGTTGATTTCCCAGGAAAGTGCCTTTTGTCCCCACCTGCAACGTTTTTGTGTATCATGGTGGGGGGGGGGTCTAGGAAACAGGGAGGGCTCTCTGTAGACCCCAAGCTAAGAACCTTTTTGGAATCTGGAGAAAAAAAAATATTCTCCTTAATTTTTTTTTTTTTTTAAAGCAAATAAGACAAAAATCTACTAATGCTATCCCTGACTCTAATGAATAAGGGGGCCATACTTTCTATTTTTGCCATACTGGGGATTGAATCCAGGGTATTTGATTGCTAGGCAAGTGGTCTACCACTTGAGCTGTGCCTCCCAGGGTCCCTTCCATTTGCCAAGGTTTTTAACTTTCCTGGAGAAACTTAGCCCTAGGAGAAGACCACAGGCCTGCCAGTGTGAACATCCTAGTTCCCTCATTCTTGGTCTGGGGTTTTCCAAAGGCCCAACAAGACTCAGGACTGCCAAGACAGACTTCTTCCTTTTAGAAAAGTCAGAATTCCATGTGCCCTTCTGGGGTCCCTCCCCTTACTCCAGTCTTCTGGTAGTCTGGCAGACCAGTGTGAGTTGAGCTACTTGTTCCCACAGGGAACTGGGGTTCCAGCTCTCTCCAGGGCATCCCTCCCCCCAAAACTGGAAAAAAAAAACTGGATTCACTTGGAAAGCATCTTCTTCTTCCTCCTGCAAAAGTTGAAAAAAACACTCAGCAAACTGTCCTGGAGTCCATAATGGTAATTTAAGGGAGTCTTCCAAGGAACTTTCTAGGGGTTGGTCTGGGTAACTCTTCAGCCCTGGTTCTGGGAATGAATGCTATTGTAACAAACTTGACCTGCCTGTTTTTTTGTTTTTGTTTTTGTTTTTGTTTTTCCCTTATTCTGTTTATTTGTATTTTTGGAAAAAGAAAAACTTTGGGCATGCCTGAGCTAATGAGTAGGCCTGCAGACCCCTCTCCTTGGCTAACTTGCTTCTCCTCTGGATCCTTATCTGATCATCATTCTATTCCTGCTTTTTTTGCCCTTCCCCCTTTCCAGGTTTCCTGCCTGGAATTTATCTGTATTTCCCTCCTACAACTTCTTGGTGGTCAGGCTGGGCTGTCCTTTTTACTTCAATCTCAATAACAGAGGCTGGAACGCTATGGAAAACTTTGGCATTTCTGGCAGGGAAGAAAAGAGGATGGAAGAATGAGTAGACCCTGCTGGGTCACCTTTTCCAGGGACTTTCTTCTTTAGTGTTACTGGGGCTTGGACTCAGGGCTTTGCACTTGCTGGGGAGGCACTTTACCACTTGAGACATAGCTCCAGCCCTAATATTTACAGTTTTATTGGAAAGTAAAATCTAAAGTTATAGCTACCTTGATCAGTCTATACATCAATTTATTATCTGTTTCTTTATCTAGCCATTGGTTAATCTTTCCTTTATCCTCATCACGATCTTCATTATTTAATCATCTCTAGAGACAGACCGAGTGACAATAGTGGGTCACCTTTGTTTTCCTTTGAGAGAAATAAATGTTTTGCTTTTACCACTGTCTGGTGCTCAGACTTTTCTCAGGGATGCCTTTCAGGTTCAAGTCTGCCTTTTTTTCCTGTATTCTGCCTGATTTTCCCTGTCTAGTTGGGCAGGCCAAGAATAAGATTCAATTGCTATTTGTTCATCTGCTATTTCTGTGGAGGAGATCTGTTTGTGTCTGAGGAATGGCTATGGCATCAACAAAAAGCTCGTTCAACTTCGGAGCATATAGAAGTATATAGAAGGTAGGCTGGAGATGTTCCCCAAAAGAGGGGGAAGAAGAGTTTTCACTTTTACTTTTTTTCTCCTAAAAAGCAAATGCTGTCACCTTTCTATGTGTTTTCCTTCCATAAGTGACTTATCTCTGATCTTGTTTCCAGAAGGCAGGGAGTGTGTGAACTGCGGGGCGACCTCAACCCCACTGTGGCGGAGGGATGGCACTGGGCACTACCTTTGCAATGCCTGCGGGCTCTACCATAAAATGAACGGACAGAATCGGCCGCTCATCAAGCCTAAGCGACGGCTGGTAAGTTCTGATCCCACAGGACCATTTGTGTCTTCTGTGTCCAGTCTCCAGGAGGAATAGCTCTAGGTAGGAAATTAACTCAAAATCATGTCAGCTTACTTAGGTTCATTTTTTTTCTGTCCTCATCTGTTTTTCCCCTTTCCTTTTCATTTCTTTCTTTTTTATTTTCATCTGAGATATACAGAAAAATGTTCTTTTTTTACTCCTTTCGTGTTTCTTAAGTTACTTCTCAAATTTTAGGATGCTAATTTATTGGTTCTCACATCTAAAGTCTATTTCCCACTAGAATAATTGTGCTTAGCAGTATCAGGATAATTGATTTAAAATGTAATGATGAGCACTGTGTCTCAGACAGAGAAATTTGGTGTGAGGATGGGACCATCCAGAACACTCTCCGGAAGTACGGAAGGAAGGTGGGCTCCCAGAAAGCAACCGCAGGCTCAGTGTTGCCAGTGCTGATGGTTTAGGATTGATGGGGCCGATTAACTGAATTGCAGAAGCACAGCCCTTAGCCCAATTGCACTTTTTCTGCTTTCTCCGACTTAGAAATTGAAGTCTTTGCACAGGTGATTCTTGTGGAAAAGTTTTTGATTCCTGTCTTGCCTCTTGGTCTCATTTTCTCTTTGAACTAGTATCTGTAAGGGTGATAGTCTCCCCCTCCCCCTCACCCTGTTTCTCTTTTGAACTGCTTAATCATTAGGAGGAATAGTGAGAAAACCTGGCATTGTCAAACATTTATGAGGAAAACCAAAACGGGAGGGAGGGATTTGTTTGCAAGCCTGTCTTTGGAACCATAGGCCAGACTGAAGAGTGAATAGGTAACAGAGACAAATAAAACAGGCTTGGCAGGTGACAACTAACCACAGTCAAGAGATCAAAATGCTTTTTGTGGTGCTGAAAGTCACCAAGTGAAGAGGGGAGGAGGGGAATTTCCTCATGCAGATTGATGGGTAAATTAGCATCCATCAAATTCTGGGTGGGGGGGGGCGGAGATGTATCCCTCCTGTGTTCTTTCAAAGCGTTATTTGTCCTTTCCATCAGACTATAGTGCAACTTAACACCTTTCACATCCTCTTTAAAAAAAGGAAAAACTTTCTAGGGCTGGAAGTGCCCACATGACTTTAATTTTTGGCAATCTTAGATCTCTAGGCTTTATTCTTTCTGATCTTTGCCCCTTTCTCCAACTTTCTCAACCTCCCCCACTGCATCTCATGCAGTTCGGTATTTTTTTCCTTTCTCTCATGTGCAAAGCTGACTTCCTAGGAAAAAGCTGCCGGATATCTGAGCACTAGAGATAACTCATAAACAACAACTCAGCTTCCCCAACCTAAACATCAAGATGTTTGGACAGATCAGAACAAGAAGTGTTTGAGAAAAAAAAATGGCTAGAGGTGTTAGCACAGAATAAATGTAATTACACCACAGAAGAGTGCCCTCAAAAACCTGGCCTGAGTGAAAAAGAGAGAAAGAAAGAAAGAAAGAGAAAGAAAACTAACAACAAAAATAAATCATAGTGTAATTATAATTTTTTTTCAAAGGTAAGGCAAGAGATTGTAAAAGTCTGAGACTATAGATTGATTGGTGAGCGGGAGTTCAGTTGATGTTTTCTTCTGTCTCTACAGACGGCAGAGGACTGTTCTAGTTCCATTTTATATAATTTTGTCCTCACTTTTCATTGGAAATCTTTAGAACTCTGAGTAATAGTACTTTAGATTCTAGAATTCACTGGCTGTCACATTTTAAGCTGTCATTTCTGTCTTAATCATCTGTCCTGGGTGATTTGATATTTTTAGTTTCATAGAATTCATATATTACAGAGAGGTATTTGGAAGAGGTGCAGTTTTTTTTTTCCTCCTCCCTTAGATGTGTTTGACTTCTGAACACCTAGAAACTTTTTTCTTTCTTTTTTTGCATCTTAATGCTGGCGATTGAACCCAGGGTCTCATGCAGGCTAAGCACACGTGAACAATACCCCCAGCCCCAGGACTTTTCCTTTACTTCTTTCCTGGACATCCTGTCCCTCCACTCCAGCTCTGTCTTTCTAGGTTGCTGTTTTTGTTTTGCATGATTTTCACATCTATTGGAGACTACCCAGTCCACAATGTAGCTAGCTTTTCTGTAAGATGTATCTCACAGTGAATACATGAATGCAGGAAATAGAAGAGATGACTGAAAGCAAGATTCATAGATTTCTGCCCTCCCCCTTGTTGCCAGGATTTTCACATCTCACCCCTAGCAAAAGGCTGATCGGCCTGCTTTATTAATATACACCAGAGAGGCTTTGAGAGAGTCAGTGTAAGTTTTCATAAAGTCTATAGTACTGGAGACAGTCGAAGCATGGATATGTGTACGTTATTTTCAATATACTGCAAAGGATTACATGCGGAGCCTAGTTTTGGAGCTGTACTTTCACTAGTTGGTATTGCATATTTGTATTATGCATTCAAAATTGTTGGGCTGGGAAACCCGAGTGCCTGAGTAGATGGTACATCTGAACATGAATATATCTTCTAAAGGAAAAAAATCATAGGAGGAAGATAATAATCTCATGTAACATAATTGTCAAAAATCATGAAGCACTGGTTTTGTGTGGCACATTCTTCCCAAGAGTACACAGGGAAACAGTTATTTCACTATTAAATTACTGCATTTCATAAAGGCAGGTAGATAAAAGATGAGGAGTTAGAATCAGCATTCTTTGGCCTTGGTGAACTATTTTCAAAAAAAAAAAAAAAAGGGAGAATCTTCTTCATTGTGATAGATAAAGGCTGTCTTTAATTCCCAGTTCCTTAGAATACAGAAAAGAATTACATAACAAAGTCAGGGCTCTGCTATTTAAAGACCGCAGGAGTATATCTGTGGAACCGTGTAGTGGTTTCCAAAGGAAGGGAATATACCTAGTGAATTCTTCATATCAAGTAGTTTTAAGAGTTTGGCCAAATTTTGTGCTTGATAAAATATTGATAGAAAAGAGAACTGGGATCCTTATAATTTTTGTTCCTTGTTCTTATGACCATACCAGAATTTTCTTTCTTTCTTCTTTGGTGCTGAGGCTGGAACTCAGGGTCTTGTGCATGCTAAGTTGTCTCTACCACTGAGCTACAGCCCCAGCCCCTTCCAGAAGTTTCTTTTTCATAAATAAAGACTGAATTTTTTCTCCTTCTCTTGCCTTTTCTTTGATAATAATTTTGAGTCTAGGAGCAGGAATCATTGCGGTTAGTTTTCTTTTTTATGATGAGATGTGAGGAGAGGAAGGAGGAGTGTGTTAGCAGTGATCCAACTCCATTTTCTTTCAACAGATTTGAGTTTAATTTTTTTAAAGAGTGTAGACATAGAAAATAGTCATGTGATAAATTTAAATGCATCAAAAAAGTGAAAGGCGTATCCCTATCTCTCTATTAAAGAAAACAAAGGCAGTGAAAGGGCCAAGGATTTAAAATTTAAGTTACAGCTGACATTGTACCTGTGACTTTTCTCCTCCTCTGAGAATAACAAATAGAATATGCCTAATTTCATGAAGGTGACATGAGATGAGAATAAGTGAGGTGTATAGGATTCCTGCAGAATAGCAAAAATACTTGCTCTTTTCAGTTTGTCTCGTTCAATGATGGCTATTAAAGAGAGAGAGGGTGGCTGTCCAGGGAGTGGCAAAGGGACCAAGTCTGAGAATGTCAGCTATGAAAATTTAGAATGGCTACAAATTGGAAAGGGTCTTGTTGACTTCGGATGTCCTGCTCGTAAGTCAGTCATAGCACCCATGATTGCGTGTCTCACCAGGGCACAGCTGTCTCTCAAGGACGAATTGACTGTGCTACCAGGACTCTTTTCCCTTTCTTCATAATCTAGGACTGCTGGATTCTGATCTGAGATCAGTCTGGTGTTTTCTCTGTTTGGGTTTGCTCTTCACTCACTGTTAGTATGTCCTGATAACCACTAGCTTATTTAAAGACTGATGTTCTTGGGAATTGGACTCCTGTGGATTTGGGCTTGGTGAATAAAATGTGTAGAAGCCTTGTACCAAAATTGGTGTAGTTAATTCAAAATTGCTAGCCCTAAAGATGAATCCTAGGGTAGATTTTGTTGGTTGGAGGGAAGGAGGATGATCTCAAGGGGGTGGCACTGGCTCTCTGTCCCTCCCAATTCTGCACTGGAAAGAAATAGACTAAATCCTGCCTGTTCTGTGGATTGGCTACATGTTTCTTCTCAGGGCAGATTTGGGGATCCATATTACTTTCATGTGGGCCACTTGCTAGTTTTGATTTCAATGATAATGTCTGTCTTTTTTTTCTTTTTTTTGATAGCCTGTCTCTGTAGCTTCGGCAACACATTTAACATTCATTTTCGTTTTACCCTCTCCTCTCTCCCCATCCCCAGTCGGCAGCAAGAAGGGCAGGGACGTCCTGTGCGAACTGTCAGACCACCACTACCACGCTGTGGAGGAGGAACGCCAACGGGGACCCTGTGTGCAATGCCTGTGGACTGTACTACAAGCTGCACAATGTAAGTCCTGGTGCCAGCACGGACGGGGCTCCGGTCTGACCAGGCCTTAAATAGCTTTGCCACCATGCTATCCAGACCCCTGACGGATTCCAGTCAGTTTCCTTTGGGCCAAGTAATGGTCAGGACCTCAGATAATTGGTGCAGTAGCACCTAGTTTAGAAAATGACTACTTGGTTAGGGCTGGCGGAGTGGCTCAAGTGGTAGAGCGCCTGCCTAGCAAGCGTGAGACCCTGAGTTCAAACCCCAGTACTGCCAAAATAGAAAGTGACTCTTTCGAGTATAGTCTTGCCTGCCAACATGGAAGGGGTTTACACGGCAATCTGGTACGCTTCGTGAGTGTGTCTGGGTTTTTAGGGGAAAAAAATCTTCCCCTTGGAAAACAGAAAAAGTCACCACTTCTGTTTTGAGGGCCCTTTCATTCTAAACTTGTAGCAAAGAGAGAGAGGGAACATGGGCTTGAGAGAGAGAGAGAGTGCAAAGAGAAAGGCAAATAGAATTATAGAATTGTGATGTGTGGCCCAGCAATTCCTGAAATTAAGACCCTTGCTGAGGAGTAAAACATGTTGGCTAAACCTGTGCTGTGAATTTCAAATGGACCCTCTGTGTAAAAGGTATGAAATGAAATGTCTGAGAGATTTTATCTGATGGCTTTGTCCCAGCTAGCTTTCGTACACAGAGAACTGAGCAAAGCGCCTGGCAAGGTTATCATGCCAGCAAACAGAAAGCGTTTAATTCTTCTCCTATGTCATCTTACCAGAATGACAACTGCCAGTCACTGGGTCTAACTGGGTCATTATTAATCTTTTAATTTGGGGTCCTCCCAATTTGTAATATCTTTACCATAATCTTTTTCTTTTGGTTGTTTTGTTTTTCTGAAATAATTCTGACCAACAGGCTATGATCGAAGTAGGGTCTGAAATTTACATTAATTCCAAAGAAAAAAATTGTCCTCTCTCTCTCTCTCTTTCTCTCTCTCTCTCTCTCTCTTTCTCTTCTCTCCTTCAAACTTTTTCTGGTTCTCCCATATTTTCTTGACTTTGGCAAAGTCTGGGACCAAACAAGGAAGAGGCAGAAATTTTTGCTTGGGGCTGTTCTGGCAGTAAACTCTCCTTACCCAGGAATACCCAGAAATCGTGGAGGAAACTTTTCTGGTTAGGTTTTTTGAGTCACAGAGAATATCTGAGGGTGACCCCCAGCACTCCTACCTCTTTTTTGCTTTGAGGGGAAAAGGTGCTGAGATTCCCAGGGACCTTAATAACTCTGTCCACAGTGACATTGTGTCTTGACGGGGTCCCCGTTGTTGGGCCCAGTATAACGAAACTGGAGTCTTCCTAAGCACGATCAGTTATTCTCTCTCTGATCCTGAGATTTCTCAGCAACAAAGCCAGGTGCTGGTTTCACTTTGGTGCGCTCATTTGCTCACTGCACTGAACGTAGAAGTATCCGTGACTAAGATTGGGGAGATTTGAGACATTAGTGTTCATTAACTGTCGGGTCATCAGTTATTTTTTGAGTTGTAATTCATGACTTTCCAAGAACTTTCAGATTACTTGATTACATTTGAGTCTCAAATTGTTCCATGATGTAGACAGGGCAGAAATTATTTTTATATCAGTTTTACTTGAAGTCATGACTTAGAAAAGCAAGTAGTAGCTGGGCACCCGTGGCTCATGCCTGTAATCCTAGCCACTCAGGAGGCAGAGATCAGGAGGATCATGGTTCGAGACCAGCCCAGGCAAATAGTTGTGAGACCCCTATCTCGAAAGAACCCATCACAAAAAGGGCTGGTAGAATGACTCAAGATGTAGGTCCTGGGTTCAAACCTCAGTACCGGGGCGGGGGCAGGGAAGAAAGAAAAGCAAGTAGTTTGTGCAGTGTAATGTGACAAACCAAGTTGAAGAGTTAGGACACTGTCTTGCTTTAGAATATAACAAAATTGTGGCGAATTGTGCAGGACTACATATTTCTTTCCTGCTTCCATGGGAGGACAGAAATGATGAGAAACTAATAAGCACTAATTTTGTTTGAGTAATTATGATAAGGTATGACCTCACTTATATCCAACTTAAATAAACAAATAAATATATTTCTGAAGAATATGAATTTTTGCCTCTGTGGTGCTGGGGATTGAAGCCAGGGTTTTGCACATGCTAAATAAGTGCTTTGCCATTGAGCTTCCTCCCCAGCCCACTGAATTTTGCAAATTAAAGAAAGACTAAGAATCTTCTCTGCTGCTTACTTTTTAATTTTTTATTATTTTTTAAATACAGTGTATCTAATCCTCGCTAATACTAGGCAAAATGCTCTACCACTGAGCTACATCTCTAGCCCGTCAACTCTATTTTTAATTAGCTATGTCTTCATGGCTGGCCTCAAGTGACTGGAAGAGAGAGAAAGGAGGTGGAGTGAGGGGGGAGAGAGAGAGAGAGAGAGAGAGCGTACCTCATTTTCAAGTGTGTTTTTCTGTCTTCTCTGGTGTACTTAACAATGAGAGATAATAATCTACTACCTTTTCATGGCGTCCTGTTCTGTTCTGCCCATGTAGATGTCCCCACATGTTATGCCATAGGTTCCTTGCTTCTTATCTAGGCATTTAGATAACTTCCTATCTCAGGATCAGCGTATCTAGGTGGTGTTGTGACTAGTTATCTGGGGCGTGCAGCTCTCTGTGTAACTAGATATTATATTTAGATATCTGGCTGTGTGTATCTAGATATCAGCGTGCAGAGTGCTTTATCTGGACATTATCTCAGTGAAGATTTGATGTAGGAATAGATTCCTGTCATCTCTGTGGGCTGCATCTTTGTCTTAATGATAACTTGAAGGAACTCTGAGATCCTTCTGCCACTGACCTTTCTTGGCTCTTCTGCTGCCACTCACCTTGTTTGGGGGGAAGTAAGGTCTCAGCTCCAGGGTAGTGCTCTATTCCCCCTCAGATGACCTCTCCAGCTCCAGAAAGCTGTGCATTTGCTGCGCCCTGCAGCTTGGTCTCTTTCTCTAAGAAAGGATCCTCTTTTCCTTAACTGTTATTGAATAGCTTTGGGGATGGATAGGTAGATCCCCAAGTAAAGGGGAGCCTCTTTTCCCACCCTAGAGAACATAGTGAAAGAGGCTGTTTTCCCCTCCAAGTTAGGAAGGGCCAGGCGCTCCACAGCTCCCTAAGAACATGGTAAGATGTACGGTTGGTTCTTCATGGCAGACCTGTGCTGTTGATGTTGACCTGATTCTGACTCCATTTAGTGAGAAGACTGTTTATTTGTGAAGTCCCCATTCTTGGCTCTGGTCCCCCAAAGCCCATGCATTTGAAGAGGACAAAGTTGATCAGAAAGCAAGGGATGGTAGGTTGTCACAGAGAGAAGCCTAGTGATTTGCAGAGTGGGTCTTGTCACCGTCTCTTTATTCTGATGCATTCTTGGTTGTAATTTTTAGGATGTGTGTACTTCCATGCTAACAGAGTGCTTTGGATCCCAAAGGTGGTTACTGAGTCCTTGCTGATTGGTTGTTTGGCTATTTGTCCAATTAGAAGTGGAGGGTCTGACTAGGGAGAAGTAGCAATTTTCAGCCATTATAGTTGCTCTTGGGTAACATAAGCAAGGAATTATTTATCTTTGGAAAAGCATGTTGTATTAAAATAGGTGTAAGGAGATACAAATTCCAGGGGATGATTTTATGGCCTTGGGAGAGGGCCAGGTGGAAAAGAGATAACCAAAGACTTCTCTGTAGAGAGGTGCAGCACCTACTTATAACACAGAGAGACTTCAACACTGACTCCTGAATTCCTACAGCAGATTTGTCAGATGAGTAGCACAATGTATTTCCTTCTGGAAGTTTCCTCAATGGCCTTCATTCTCATGAACTATTCCAAGGAGATGCTAAATGAATAAGACCAGTTATTGTACTTTAGTTGTCAGAGAAATAGAATCATCGTGGGTGGCCCCTGGATATGCAAAGTTCCTAGAGGAAAACTTTGCCCCAAATTATTAATACCGGTGAACTTAATTGATAAGCTGTGCGTGGAGCACCTCACCTGTAGTCTCTCAAGTGATGGAAACAGTTGGGACTTCCCTACTCTGTGACTGAGTCAGCAGCACCCTGGGTTTCTGGAAAGGAGAAAAGGGCAGGTGGGAGAAAGGAAGGGTCCAAATGAAGTAGAAATAGATTCCTGACCTGGGGCAGGTGGTGGAACCTTTGTCACTCTGTAAAAGTCTGTATCATTTCAAAGGCAGTAAAAAAGTAAAAAAAAAAAAAAAAATTGATCTTTGTTTAGATTAACAGACCCCTGACTATGAAGAAGGAAGGCATCCAGACCAGAAATCGAAAAATGTCTAGCAAATCCAAAAAGTGCAAAAAGGTGCACGATACGCTGGAGGACTTCCCCAAGAGCAGCTCGTTCAACCCGGCCGCCCTGTCCAGACACATGTCATCCCTCAGCCACATCTCCCCTTTCAGCCACTCCAGCCACATGCTGACCACGCCCACGCCCATGCACCCACCGTCTGGCCTCTCCTTCGGACCTCACCACCCTTCCAGTATGGTCACCGCCATGGGTTAGAGTGAGCCCTGCTCAAGGTGCACATGTCTCCGAGCAAGAGAGAGAGACTGAGAGAGAGAGAGAGAGAGAGAGAGTCCCTCGACCCCTTCTACTTGCATTTTTTTGCAGGAGCAGTATCATGAAGCCTACATGTGATGGATATTTGTTTTTGAAGGCAGAAAGCAAAAGGATGTTTGCCACTTTTGCAAAGGAGCTCACGGTGGTGTCTGTGTTCCAACCACCGAATCTGGATTGCATTTGTGAATAAGCCATTCAGACTCACATTCCCTATTTAACAGGGTCTCTAGTGCTGTGAAAAAAAAAAATCGCTGGACATTGCATATAACTTATATTGTAAGAAATACTGTACATTTGAGGAAGACTTCATTGCACCTGGGTAGCTGTAAGAAAGGCATGAAGAATGCCAACAATTTTAAGGAATATGGGAAGGAAAGTATGGAAATTCAGAAGAAAGTAGGTCTGATATCAAGTGGACAACCTGCCAGTTTTGTTTCCTCTCACTGGCCACAGTTGTTTGATGCATTAAAAGAAAAAAAAAAAAATTAAAAAAGGAAAAAAAAAAAAAGAAAATAGAAAAAAAAAAGAAAAAAAAAGTTGTAGGCAAATCATTAAAAGCTGTGGATTCTGGAAGGAAATACAGGTCCGGGCACACAAATTGCCAGTGAGGCTTTGGAATGTCATTTCTAGGCCTACATGCTTTGTGAACAAGTCTCTGTAATTGTTTGTATGTATAATCCAAAGCTCCAAAATAAGAAAAGATGTAGATTTATTTCATCATATTATACAGACTGAATTGTTGTACAAATTTATTTACTGCTAGTGTTAAGAACTGCTTTTTCTTTTTTTTTTTTTTTTTTTGGTTTTAATGTTTTCCTTCTTTCTCAATTTTCAGTTGAATAAACTAGATTATGTTCAGTTGACTTAAGGTTGTTGTGCTCTGGAGGGTTTATTTTCCATTTTGTTTTTGGATGATATTTATTAAATAGCTTCTAAGGGTACAGCAGTATCTGTTTCATCCTCACTTCTCCTGCAGCCTGAGCTCTGAGGTAGCAGTGTACGAGCTGCTTACGTGCATGTCAGCGACCCTGGCCGGATGGGTCACGTCCTAAGAGCAGCCTAGCCTGGCTGACTGTTAGCCTCTGTCGTGTTCTGTGTTAGTGATCACTGCCATTAAACAGTCTGTTGGAATGATACTATAAAACTACTAATAAAGTTAAAATATTTTAAAACAACAAAATAACATCATACCCAAGTGGTGGCCAAGCTCTTATAGAATCTGGTAGCTCTAGCTAATTTAAGATAAAGGAGTTTTTTTTTTTTTTTTTTTTTTTTTCTTTTTTCTTCTCAAACCCCCCAAACAGGCAAGTGAAATAATTCAACGGGAGGAAATGCTAATCCCAGATAGACAACAGCCATTCCTTTGGGAAGCTGGAAGCATTTGGAGCTCTGTGTAGCTCAGGAATTTATCTGGGGACTGGCCTCACCTCTGGGGACCCCCAGTGAGCTGTGAACCTCTGGTAGGCTATCTTCTCCAGGAGAAAGAAGTAGTGTGTTTCCTAGCTGCAAGTCACAGGTGAAAACTATAGCTGATGCTTCCTCTTGGAGACATAAGTGAGCTGGGCCACTCCTGGATGCATTTCTGTCTGGCTCTTCTACTGTTGAATTGAGTAACACCACAGTGAGGGGTTTATTGAAATGTTTGCAAAACATGAAATAACCATTTTGTAATTTCTGCTGTATAGTTTCCTTTTACTCTGTTGACAGAATGTGTAACTATGGCACACATTTAAAAATCTCTGTTAATTGCCTCTCTGCTTTCTTAGCAAATATTTTAAACCTAAAGCTGAATGTTGAAATAAAGGTGTAGAGAATTACTGAGCTGCAAATGGAGATCTCACTAACTTCCCGTTAATGACCTACAATGCCAGTGTTGTTTCCAGCTACTCTTGAAGCTCCAAAGGAAAGAATTGTCCATCGCCACACTAAAACTGGTTTTTTTTTGTCCAGTTCTGTCTCAGGACTTGCCACCTCTTCTCTTCATTTCAGTTAGTGCCCTTTCACCTTATGATCAGGGAGTTCAAATTCTTAACATTCTTGAAGTGGGAAGGGGTGGGGGGACATGTAGAATAAATCCCAAAGTCAGTACTCGGTGACGTTTTATTTTAGGTCTTTCAGCTATAATGACATATTTCACCCTAGTTCTTTAGAGAGAGGTCATTGCTCCATTGTGTACCGTGATTTAACCTTCTAAGATATTTCTAGAAGGTGATACAAAAGCTTTAAAATCTATCTATCTATCTATCTATCATCTCTCTCTCTATCTCTATCTAACAATGGTTCAGTTTCTTCTTTGGAATGGTATTTTTTTCAGGGCTCTCATGGTTTTATTCTTTTTTTAAAAATATAAGTGAAAGAAAAATACCAGTGATCATTTAATCTAGAAAAATAGAACAAGATTGTAGAAATAAAATATTGCTCAAATATTTTGAGTAACTAGTACCCTAATTAATTTTCAGTCTATTTTATCTCACTTTTGGAATAGTTTCCTTAACTACAGATTTGCATATACAAACTCCTTATGTACCTAACAGTGGAAGTTCATGAAGTAAAAATTTTGAATTTAAGCACTTGTTTCATTTATTCAACAGATATCAATAGAGTGTCTAGGTTGAATTTCATTAAAACCACCTTTTAAAAAAATGCTTGTTTAAAAGCAGATCAGGAAATAGAGAAACCAAGACTCCAGTGATGTCATTCTGACTTTGTGACATTTATGTTGTTATTCCCCTTAAAATGAACTACATGAACTGTGGTAAGTCTCCTGGCTGGGCCTCTGGGTTAGTCGCCAACCAGACAAATTGCGATAGAACTGGGGAAGCCCAGAGCCTGCCTTCTGAGATCAGTATCTCTCCCCCAAGGTTTAAAAATTTAAGCTTTACTCCTCATGAGATTTCATTTCAGTGTTTTGTAAGTTCAAAGTGTAATAAAAGGAGTGAATTCTTTCCAGGCATTTTGAACCTACCTGATTTGAGTTTGATAAACACTTGCTCACAAAATTCGAACTCACAAACTCAGACACAACACCTTGCCTGCCTCTGATATTTTCCTCACAACGGTGAATTGTCCTATTTGGATTTCTGGGCTTTGGCAGCATTACCATTCTATTTCCTCTTTTGTCCCATTCCCCTGTCTCAAATCCTTGACCCCAAATCCATTCCATGTCCTGGAGTCATTTTGTGACTCTTTCTGAACAAAAGCTATTGTTAATTCCTTTGTAATTTCCAAGCTCAGGAGAGATGACAGAAAACATTGGGATGATGCCATACAATTTTATTCACTGTACAAAATTTTAGTCATTATCTAAATCAGCTGAGCACCACACCAACATTTTGCTTATTCATTAAATGACATGACCGTCTGGAAAACATTTTCATTTTTCTTGATACCATCTTGCTCAAACAGTGCATCTTTAGATTTGACTTGTCTGAGGGTTCTGGATGCCCTTGCAGAGTCTAGGAAAGGAAAATTCTGGAAGTCAGAGAAACTCCTTGATCATTTGAATATGTTGTGACAACTGTGCTAGAGCTCTGGAAACACTTGGATTCCTTCCTGCCTGTCGCTATTTACCAGAATGATCTGAGGTCATTTACTTGCTTTTCCTGGGAGTGGGCTTCTTATTTGTGTAGTCAGGTGAGATGGTCTAGAACGTCTTTTGTTAAGAAAGGTTAGAATTTTGAGAAGTGGTGTTTGAGAAGCCTGGAGTGATAGTCATCAGTAAGATTGTAGATCCACCACCCTCATCTGTCCTAGGTATCACCTTGTGAAACACAGACTAACTTGTATTTTGTGATTGTCAACCCGGACAGGAGTCGGTGTCCCTGTCTTTGGATTCTCTCCTCTTTCTGAAATGTGTCCAGGCTCCTCTCACGCTGAATACACAGGACTTGCTTGTCCTGCTGATTTTGGCAGCCTGGTTCATAGTTCTCTCATCCATTGTGTAAAGAAATTCTGTCTGAATGGCTTACAGGCTATTCTCGGGATATAGACAGAGTCCAGCCTTTCTTTTCCCTTGTCCTCTCTCTTTCTCTTTCCCTTTGGAGAAGGGGATGAGCAGAGGAAGTACCGAAGTGCTCAAAGACAGCGGCTCCTTTCAGGGTGTTCTGTTCAGCTTCTGATATCCCTGGTCCCTTCAGACTTGCCCTGGTGTTCCTTCGCAGGGGATCCTGGTACATTAGCTACATTGTCTAGGGTGCATTTTTACAATCCCCTGTCATGTCTGTGTGCACAGTTTGGCAGGCTAGGCATTGGAGTGGGATTTGGAGGCTGGGCCCCCTCATCACCCCACCCCACCTCTGACCTCAAGCTGAGCAAAAGTCATGCACTGCAAAACACTCTCTCATTGCCTTTGGTGAGGGGGTCTAGTCCGAGGCAAGAGCCCCAAAGGTGGGGAAACACCTGCAGGGAGTTCTTGTGTCTAAGGGAGCAGCTTTGGGCCTAGAAGTGAATAATTTACGGGTGAAGAGTGTATGCCCAAGGACACTGGTTTCTAGAACTGAGTCATAATTCAGTGACTTGGTCTGAAGGGGACCCCACTGCAGAGATGTGGTGGACATACACCTGACTTACCAGGTGGTCTATGAAGAAACCACCCTAACTTGGTTATTTTGGGGTAGGTATATGGAGGAAGTCCTGTGGACATGAGAAACTTCTAGAAAATGAAAATCTTATTTCCTTTTTATCTGATGATAAAGTTAGCTAATACTTATTGACTAAACTTACAAAGTCCTCAAACATTATTGATTTATTTTTATTTTTGTGGTGTTGGGATGGAATCCAGGGCCTTGTGCATGCTAGGCAAGTGCTGTACCACTGAGCTACAGCCCATCCCAGTCTTTTATTTTTTGTGGCACTTGGGGTTGAGCCCAAGGCCTTACTAGGCAAGTACTCTACTACTTGAGCTATACCCTAACTCCAAAACATTTCTTATTTATTTTTCTGACATAACTTCCTGAACATTTTAAAAAAGAAGTCGAGGAAATAAGGTTTTCCTCATTGCTGTTGAATCGGCCATGAGTAGTAAGGCTTTTGAAAGTTTATCTGGAATACCTTCATGAATCCCACGGCCTTCCGGGTGGGGGTGGAGGGGCTTGAGTATAGCATTTAAAACAGTTTTTAAAACAAATTTTGGGACATGGTCTCCCTATGTAGCCCAGTCTGGCCTTGAGCATGTGAAGCTCCTATCTTCTACCTCCTAGTGCTAGCATTTGGCTTTGGCGGGAGTGGTGGGGGTGTCTTTAAAACTCCATTTTATGAACCAGAAGGGGTTGTTAAATAAATCCACCTTATAAAAAGTAGCTATCCTCTCTCTCTTTATTGTTAGGGGAGGCTCTGCTCCTCTTTGTTGAGACTATCATTTCATACTCAGACCAAGGACG